GTTCTCTTAGCAGTCCATGGTACATTCAATACTCTTCTCCAGCACCACAGCTCAAAGGCATCAATTCTCCTTCTATCCTCCATAGTCATTGTCCAGCTCTCTGATACATAGCAAGTGATTACAAAGACCATAGCCTGTATCAGGTGCACCTTAGTCTCCAGAGTGACACCATTGCTCTTCAGTACCCTGGAGAGGTCATCTCCATGATGTGACCTGTAATAAGCTCCCAATCAATTTTTGAGTCCCAACAAAAAGTCCCCAAATCCAAGAGACTTTCTTTAGTGCATAGTGTTATTGGGAAATGCCCTGGAATCAACCATATACCCAATCCTGTGCCATCCTTACAATCTCCACCATGCCCAAGGCCATTGCTGCAGTCACATCAACCCATCTCTTTAAAAGTCTTCCTTTCTTCCACTAATTCACTATTTTTCTAAGCATGATACCTTTTTCCAAGAGCTGGCCTCTCCTGATAACCTTCCCCAAGTATGTGAGATGAAATTTCACCATCTTGGCTTCTAAGGAGCACCTTGGTTGCTCTTCCTCCTAGATAGCTGTGCTGCAATCTCAAAGGCATGCAATTCAAATCCACTAGTTTCTCTGCAGGAGAAAAATGGGCAATCTCCTCTCATGCGATTAAACTGCCTATGAAAACCCCCTGGAGGGTCAACTGTGGGTTAGTTCCAACTCAACTGTGCACAACAACAGTGCTCTTTGTTTCTTGGAATTTTTTAATTTGGGTTTAAGTTTGCAAATTCATTTTCCATCTAACAATTCATATGTATTTTGTTCCGTGGCTTTGATTGCCATCTCCACTATATAACAACATTCCTGGTATTTCTTCATTTGTTTATCACTTGCAGATATGCTTTCTCACTCCTTCCTGCATTCTACACTTTATCTCTGGGCAAATGCGACTGTTGATTTGATTTTTCTAAGGAATGTCTACGCTCATTGGTGCTCAAAGCCTCAAATCTGTTCTTGAGACTGTTGGTTTTGAGCTCTGGGAGGATATCAAGAAAATCGTCCATGAAGAATGCAAAAGATCATTACAAAGGCTGAAAAAGAAGAAAAGACCAAGATGGATGTCAGATGAGACTCTGAGTATTGCATTAGAGCGCTGAGAAGCCAAAGCTTCTTGGTTTGAAGAAACCAAGAAATCAAAGAGCTGAACAGAAAAATCTCAAAAGGTAGCCCCGGACGACAAAGCAAGATACTATAATGAAATGTGCAGAGGGCTGGAGTCAGAAAATCAAAAGGGCCAAACTCGCTCAGTGTTTCTTAAGCTGAAGGAGCTGAAAAATAATTTCAAGCCACCGGTGGCAATACTTAAGGATACTTTGGGTAAAATGTTAAATGATCTAGGAAGTATCAAGAGAAGATGGAAGGAGTACACAGAGTCACAGTATCAGAAGGAATTGGCTGACACAGAAGAATTTAATGAAATAACATATGAGAAAGAGCCTGTGGTGATGAAGGAGGAAGTTCAAATTGTTCTGAAGGAATTGGCAAAAAACAAGGCTCCTGGAGTTGACGGCATACCAATTGACATATTTCAACAAACAGACACTGCCCTGTATATGCTCACTAAGTTGTGCCAAGAAATGTGGACGACAGCCAGCTGGCCAACTGACTGGAAAAGATCTGTATTTGTTCCCATTCCAAAGAAAGGTGACCCAACAGAGTGTGAAAATTATCAAACAATATCATTAATATCACATGCAAGCAAGATTCTGCTGAAGATTATCCCAAAACATTTGGAACAATATGTCAACAGATGTGCTGCTGGATTTAGAAGACATCGTGGTACTAGCTAATAGTATAGCTAATGTTAGATGGATCTTGGCAGAAAGCAGAGAATACCAGAAGAATGTCTATCTGTGCTTCATTGACTATGCAAAGGCTTTTGACTGTGTGGATCACAACAACCTGTGGCTGACTCTGAGGTGAATGGGAATCCCAGAACATTTGATTGTGCTAATGTGAAACCTATACTTGGACCAAGAGGCAGTTGTCAGAACAGAGCAAGGGAACACTACATGGTTCAAAATCAAGAAGGGAGTCCGGCAGGGATGTATTCTGTCTCCATACCTTTTCAATCTGTATGCAGAACAGATCATCTGAGACGCTGGGCTGTGCAAGGAGGAATGTGGCATCAGGATTGGTGGAAGAGTCATCAACAACCTGCTTTATGCAGATGACACAACCCTGCTTGCTGAAACTGAGGAGGACCTGAAGCACTTGCTGCAGAAGGTCAAGGACTGCAGCCTTCAATATGGATTGAAGCTCAACATCAAGAAAACAAAGATTCTCACCACTGGGCCAATTGGCAGCATCAGTATGGATGGTGAAGAGATTGAGATAGTTAACAGTTTACTTGGCTCCACAGTCAACACTCTTGGTAACAACAGCCAGGAAATCAAGAGACGAATTGCACTGGAAAAGTCAGCAGTGAGGGACCTCTCAAGAGTACTGAAGACCAAAGATGTCAGGCTGGAGACTAAGGTGTGCCTGATCTGGGCTATAGTCTTCGCAATTATGTGCTATGCATCAGAGAGTTGGGCAGTGAATAGGGATGATAGAAAGAGAATAGATGCCTTTGAGCTGTGGTGCTGGAGAAGAGTGTTGAATATACCATGGACTGCTAGGAGAACAAACAGGTTTGTCCTGGAGAAGGTGAAGCCAGAATTCTCCTTGGAGTCAAGGGTTCTGAAGCTTTGTCTGACATACTTTGGGCAAGGGGGGACTGGTCCTTGGAGAGGGACATCATGTTTGGGAGAGTGGAGGAACGGTGCAGGAGAGGAAGAACTTCGATGAGATGGATCGATTCTGGACTAGAGTGGTGGGAATAAGTGCGTTTGAGATGTCTACGTTGGCACAGGATAGAATGGCATTTAGAGCTCTTGTACATAGGGTCGTTGTGAGTCGCAAGCGACTCAATGGAACATAGCAACAACAAGAAGGAATGTCTGTGTTCCTGATGTTATTGTTATGTGGTAGTTTGGTGCCATGAAGTCAACTATCAAAACCTTACCCTATCCTGCACCTTATAATCTCAAGTACATTATTGCAGTCACTGTGTCAACCCATCTCATTGGGCGTCTTCCCCTCTTTCCACTGATTCTATACTTTTCCAAGTGCTATAACTTGACAGGCACTTCCTGACAAGCCCAAAGTATATGAGGGGAAGCTTCATCATCCTTGACTCTAAGGATGCATTTCCTCCAAGACAGATTTGTTTGTTCTTTTGGCAAACTGTAGTATATACAGACTTGTCTGTTGTTTGGCTGAAAATTGAGCAATGGGGTGGAGCAAGGAAGGGGAGTTCTGTTAGAAGTCTTGGAGGTCCCACCAGTCTCTATCAGATCAGTATACCTGGTCCTTTTTATGGTCTGGGGGTTTATTGCATATTTCTCTCACAAATGACTATTTATTGGGATCTCTTCCAGAGCAGTCAGTAGTGATAATACGGCACCTTCCAGTTTTTCTGGCCTCAGGGATATGGAAGCTGAGGTTCATATGTTCATTATTCCTTTGCAGTAATTGTGTCCATATAACTTTGGTTTTCTTCCTTTTTCTTTGCTGTGGATGCGGAAACTGTGCCTTAGAGGGCCACTTACCACTTTTGAGGTCTCAGTCAGCACTCACCACAGTAGACTGTAGAATGTTGTCTTTGTGAACTGTATCATGCTAATTGGCTTAGGTATGCACCAAGACTGTGTTCCTAATACCCCAAGCCCAGTGTCTATTTATGGCTGAGAGGTTTGATTTGTATATTTTGGGGCCCTTTCATTGAGTGGGAAGATATGTCCTCCTGTTTAGTTGACCATTTTATTGTTCTATAACATTCTTCCTTCTTTCTATGAGACTTTTTGCATTGTTGTTCAGTGTTGTTGAGTCAAGTACAACACTGGGCGACCCTATGAACAACAAATCTGAACCGTATCCATCCTGTGCCATCTCCTTTTACCTTCTCCAAGACAATGTTTTTTTTCTTTTGGCAGTCCATGGTACATTCAAGACTAAGTCTACCTTATGATAAATTAGTCCAAGAAATTTTGGTTGTCATTTAACATACATTTCTCTTCTACATTTTATTTTTAGGTTACTTTTATCTTTGTGTCTAAGGTGAGTCTTTTGAAAGAAACATATTGATGAGCACTGTTTTCTGCCACTCTCTTGTCTCCTGACTTGATCATGAGGCATTATGTTTTTTAAAATGATGTTACATCCTATTAGCTAAGATTTTTTGTTGAGAATTTTTGTGTCTGTACTCATGAGGGATATTGCTCAAGAACTTTTTTTTTAAGTGATGTCTTTGGCTTTGGTTTGAGGGTTACATTTGCTTCATTGAATGAGTTTAGGAGTACAGAATTTTTTTTTCTACAACCTCAAAAAATAGTTTCAGTAGAATTGAGGTCCGCTTTTTTTCTAGCAGAGAAAATGAATTTTAGTAGAATGCATTGGGGAAGCCATCAGGGTCAAGACATATTTTTGGGGGAGGTTTGGTGTTTGTTCTTTTAAATCTCTTCAGTTTCTTCTTTAGTGTGTCTCTTTTTAAAGTATTTACCTTTGTGCTTGCTTAAGTAGCTTGCAATACATTATCCTGCTTCTGAAATTTTAGTCTTAATCTTCTGATTTCAGTTTTCTGATTTTGCGGGGTTTCTGATTTTCCATTTATGTTGCCAGAGCTTGTTTGTTTGGCAGTTGATTTTAAGTCTTCTAGAGTTTGTGTTGTCCTTTCTTTTGTTAGTAGTTTGTTCTAACTCCCTCTTACTCCACTGAGGCACTGAATTATAATTCTTTTGAGTTCATTATCAGGGAATCTCAATAATATTTCTTCCTCTGAAAGACTCTCTGGCCCTATGTTTTAATCATTGGTGTGTGCCATTTTTGTCATATGTACACACATGTGTGAGTGCAAAGTTACCTATTACCTCCAAGACATCATGGTTTTGTTCTGTTTTATGTATCTTATGGGGTGGAGTGAGTGACTACTCGGCTCCCTAATATTATGAAAACTGTCTAACATCCCTCTTGAGATGACTTGCCTTTCCCCCCCCCTTACTTTTTGAGGATCTAGATGATCTGTTTTTTTAAATTCACCGTTTCAAAGAGTCAAAGTATACATTTTTCATAGGCTATTTCATGTTCTTCCATCTACGTGGGACAGTCTTCTCTTCTGCTCCCGGCCCTTTTCCTTCTAATAAACTTTAAGCCTGAGTCACATTTATACAACAAATTTGAGATTATAATATCAGAAGTCTCTTAGAAAGGAAATAACCCTCTTACTTTGTCATCTTTGAGATTATCCCACATTTAACTTTGTTAGTGTGACCAGTCCTAGAATTGATGACTAAAGGACATCATTCTCTACTATTCTTGTCTTGAAAATAGGATGCAATTTCCAAGGCATTACTTGGGGAATCTGAAGATGAAGATGTAGAAAAGGAAAGGAAAATCATTTTGGAACTGCCTCCCGAATTGCTGAGTACCACCATACTTATTAAAGAACTCACCAAGGTAATGTCGTTCAGTGTCCAACGTTATCCTGGCTTCCCCATCACTTAGGAAATATGTCCTTGTTTCCAGAGTTCACTGTTTTTCTTTGGGGTTTATTATGCCAATTTAACAGAAGAGCATTTGTGAAATTGTCCTGGGTAATTGTATATAGAGATTGAAGCACTGATTGTATTTGACTTCTAGAAAGTGTTCACTCCATTGTGTTTTCTGAATCTTCAGATCTATTTTAAGTGTCCTCCTATTCTGGCTGTGAGAAAAATCTCCCTTATAATAAAAAAAGGGGAGTGCTTTGGATTACTTGGATTCAATGGAGCTGGAAAAACCTCTACCTTCCAAATGTTGACTGGAGAAAAGCCTGCTACTTCTGGGGATATGTTCATTGAAAATGTTAGCATCACCAAAAATAACCTAAAGGTGAGACTGGCTCAGGGCAGACCAGGGCTCAGAGCTGCTATACACAGGGTCGCTATACATCACAGGTGACTCAGTGGCACATAAAACAATAATATGCTATGACAGGTTTGGAAGCAGGAGTGGCATCCATTTCCTAAATAACATGCCTCCGGAAACTCTGTGAACTTTTAGAAATGTCGATAGTTATAGAGGGGCTTCAGGCCTTTTGTTCACTGGGTCGTTACGAGTTGTGCTTGACTTGAAGGCAACAAGAAGACATTACTATTACCTAAGTTGCAAAAGAGTGTTGAGGGTACCATGGACTGCTAGGAAAACAAACAGATTCATCCTGGAGAGGCTTAAACCAGGCGGCTCCTTGGAGGCAAGGATTCTGACGCTTCGTCTAACATACTTTGGACACGTCGTAAGGAGGAACTGGTCTTTGGAGAGGGACATCATGCTTGGTAGGGTGGAGGGACAGTGCAGGAGAGGAAGGTCCTCTATGAGGTGGATTGATTCAGTGACTAGGGTAAACGGGATGGGTGTATGGAGACACTGTGATTGGTACAGGACAGAGCAGAGTTTAGGGCTATTGTACATAAGGTCGCTATGAGTTGCAAGTGACTCAACGGCACGTAACAATAACAACAACAAGTTGCAAAAAAACCCATGGTGAACTCAGGTAGAAGTGGAAGTGAGAGGCACAAAGCTGGAGGTCCTAGATATCAGTGTTTGTACTGTTGATTCAATCAGTAGACTCTGGAGGGAGAAAGTTTCAGAAGACATGTTGAGAAGAGTCCTAACATAAGAATCTAGAGTGAGAATGTCTTTTGTGTTCTTTGAAACTCTTGGCATGAGAAACAAGTTCTTTCAACAGTGTATGTAATGTGTGCCAGACTAGCTGATTTAAGGATGTGGGGAAGACAGATTTGACAGAAGGAGAAACTTATCTGTGTGTAATGCATTTGTACCAGAGTTTTAGACTGGTTCATTCAAATTTGACTCTCTGCAGTGAGTGTTGCAGACCAAGGGTCCCAAAGAATGGAATAATTTTATAATTATTAATAATGAGACAAACAGCGAGGAGTGAGATAGAGCAGAGAGCATAAAACAGGGGGCCAGCAGTTCTTGACTGAAGACCCCAAGCCAAGCTTCTCTGTATCTTTATTGAAAATTATCAGGAAGTAAATCACAAAGAGAAGTCAATGCAAATGAAGCCAATCTCTTTATATTGAAAACCTTCTGCTTGACTCAGGAAGGAGGGGTTCACAAATGCAAGAATTTGGTTTACCCTTAACTATTAACCTTGATGCCTCAGGGTGAACTCTAGCTCAGGAAGTAACACTCCCTCTGTAGGGGGTCCCTTGCTGCCTCCTGTCTTGTAGGGAACAAACAGCTCATTTTCTAGGATCTGCCACAAGAGAAATCCTAACTTATAGATCTGTAATTCCTTCAATTCCTGAACAAGGGTTTTCATATAATGTTTGGTGTAAAGTCTGGCTTCCCATAAGTGAGAATTTGCATTTCCACCCCAAAAATATTGAATTAAAATCTATGTTTTAACCAGATCCACAGGTGATGATCTTCTAAATGCAAATCCTCAGCGGAGGGTCAAATTGCAATGAATCAGTTCAATGTCTTGACTATAGTGTAAGTCTTGGTCCATCTTCCTGAGTTCTTTTTTAATTTTTTTTAATTTCCATTCATTCATTGTTGCACTTTTCTCCCTACCGACCCCTGCCCTCCAGTACACTCTTCTCTTTGAAAAGTACAAGAAAAATTCTTTCATTGTTTTACAATCGCTCCTCCACGTCCACTCCACTGTGCAGCCTTCGTTCTGGCTTCCTGAGTTCTTGAACAGCATAATCCTTCATAGTATTTCTCATATTGAAGCAGAGTGTTGTTGTTGTTGTTGTGTTGTGTACTGTGGAGTTGGAACCAACCCATAGCTGACCCTCCAGCAGGTTTTTAGAGATAGTTAATCACACAGGAGGAGATTTCCCATCCTTCTGCAGAGCAACTGGTGGCCTCGAACCACGTTCCTTAGGGATTCTCTGCACTAGCCAGTAACTGACTACACTTGTCACCAGGAAGGGGGGAGTCCAACCTTGGGGGAAAACTAAGAGAAAACTGTTTTTTCAATTCAAAACTCAGACTTAATGCCACTGAATCAGAACTGACTCATAGAGACCTTTCAGGAGGTTTTTGGAGACTAGAGGAGACTGTCCGTCTTTCTTCTGAGGAACCACTAGTGGCTTTAAACTGTCACAGAGGCATTGCTTATGGGCTTACAGCAAAACTCCATACTGACTGTGTCACCCAAGCTGTCAAAAGCGTGAGGGCAAAATGTGACAAGGGCCAAGAAATCTGAGGCAAGATAAAGTCTGCCTGGTGTCTGTTAGATTTCATAACTAAAATTCATTGATGATATTTAGTTTCCGAGTCGAAGGGATGGTGGCTGTGGGAGTCTGACCAGTAAAAGTTCAGTTCTTTGCAGTCCATGGAACACTGTTCTAATGGAGTCAAAAGGATGGAGTAAATGGTGGCTTGCATGCTGTAGGATAAAGAGCAATCTAGTGACCAGATCAAAAACTAAGAGTAGAGATTGTATTTTGAAGAAAATTAGCCAGGAAGTAAAAGGAAAAAATTAGACTTCACTAAGAGAAGTGAAGAGACAATAGACATTTCTAATTTTTATCAGCTCAAGTACAAATCACATGCAATCCAGATTCTGCTGAAGATGATCCAAAAATGTACATCAACAGAGAACTGCCAGAAGTGCAGGCTGGTTTAGAAGAAGCTGTGGCACTAGGGATATCATTGCCAATGTCAGTTGAATCTTGACTGAAAGCAGAGAGTATCAGAAGGATATCTATTTGTGTTTCATTGACTATGCAAAGATATTTGATTGTGTGGATTACAGCAAATTGTAATTAATGTTGAGAAGAATGGAAATCCCAGAACACTTGGTTGTGCTTATGTAAAACCTATACCTATCCTATACCAGGAAGCTGTCATCAGAGCAGAGTAAGGAAACACCACATGGTTCAAAATCAGGAAAAGAATCCATCAGGGATGTATCCTTTCTCCATACTTTTTCAATCTAAATGCAGAATAGCTCATTCATGAGGCTAGGCTTTATAAGGCGGAATGTATGATCCGGATTGGGTTGTGAGTGCATCAACAACTGACGTTATGCAGGTAACAGAATTGCACTTGCTGAACCTGTAGAAAACTTGAAGCATTTGCTGCAGAAGGTCAAGGACTGTGGTCTTTAATGTGGATTGCATCTCAACATAAGAAAAACAAAGATTCTCACCACTAGGCCAAGTGGTAGCGACATAATAGATGGAGAAATACTGAGGTTGTTAACAATCTCATCTTACTTGAATCCACAGCCAACACTCTTGGCACCAGCAGTAGGGAAATCAAAAGACAAGTTACTTTAGAAAAGTCTGCTGTCAGGGACTCTCCGGAGTCCTGAAGAGCAATGATGTCTGTTTAAAGACTAAGGTGCACCTGAGCCAGGCCATGATCTTTTCATTTACTTGCTATACACCTGAGAGCTAGACAGTGAATAAAGATCAATGAAGAAAAATAGATGCCTTTGAGTTGTGGTGCTGGAGAAGAATATTGAATCATGGACAGATCTTTCCTGGAGAGGATGAAACCAGGTTTCCCTTTGGAGGCAAGGATTTTGAAATTCCATCTCTCATTCTTTGGGCATGTTACCAGAAGGGAACACTCCTTGGAGAAGGACATCATGCTTGGAAGGGTAGAGAGTCATCACAGGAGAGAAAAACCCTGGAGGAGATGGATTGATACAGTGACTGTGGCAATGGGAGCGGATGTGTCCGAGATAGTGAGATTGGCTCAGCATAAGTCAGCATTCTGAGCCATTGTTCGTAGAGTCCCTGTGAGTCATGGTTGGCTTGACAGCACTCCCTCATCTTTCTCAGTGCAATATACACAATTTATCCAGTTTTTCTCAGTCTTACCCCCACCCTGATATCAGTCCTATTTTACAACAGTGGCACCATGCAATATTTGTCCTTTTGTGACTGAGATATTTCACTCAGCATAATGTCCTCCAGGCTCACCCATTTTGAATAATATTGCATGAGTTCCTTGTTTTTCAATGCAGCATTGTATTCCATTGTGTGAATATACCACAGCTTCTCTATCCATTCGTTTGCTGATGGACACTTAGGTTGTTTCCAACTCCTTGCTATTGTGAACAAAGCTGTGATAAACATGGGTGTGCATATATCTGCTTGGGTGTCAATTATGGTCTCTTTGGGGTATATTCCCAGTAGTGGAATTGCTGCGTCAAATGGTATCTCTATTTGCAACTTTTTTGAGAAAGAGCCATACTGCCTTCCACAGTGGTTGCACCATTTTATACTTCCACCAACAGTGAATAAGTTTTCCAGTTTCTCCACAACCTCGCCAGCATTTGTTGCTTACTATTATGTTAAATATCTTAAATTTTGCTGTTCTGACTGAGGTGAGATGATATCTCATAGTTGTTTTGATTTGAACATTTCTTCGTGTGCTTGTTAGCCATCTGAATGTCTTCTTTGGTGAAGTGTCTGTTCATATCCTGTGCCCATTTTGCAATTGGATTGTTTACCTTTATCTTGTTTTGGTGAATTTTAAGTCCTTTCTTAAGGCAATTTTCCTAATCAGGTGAGGTCAAAAATTGGCTACTGTCCTCAGTCTGAAGCCTTGCTGGAGTACATGACTGGCCGGGAAATATTGACCATGTATGCCAGAATATGGGGAGTCTCTGAGGCCCAGATTCACTCATATGTAAACCATTGGTTGAAATCCCTACGTCTGGAATCCTATGCTGACAAGTTTATCTACACCTACAGGTGAGGTATTATATTGCTGCTCCTTTTGTTACTGCTGTAAAGTTATGGTGCCCCCTTATCTTCCTGATGTTTGAATGAATGAAGTGAATGTCTCCAACTTTGCTTAACTCTGTTACACCGTTATCAGGTGCCCTGCTAAGTTTCCGATACTGGTGATAAGACAGATTGCAGAGATAAAACTAAACTCAATTTTCTTTGAACTGTAGCCTTTGGGCCTCATAAGATAGCATCCTCTTCTTGGTCTATTTTTGATAACTTGCTCCCAAGTAAGGAAAACGATGTGGCTCTTTAATTTATGGCCGTTCTTACAAACAAAGAAATAAATGCAGCAGATAATGTTTCTAAAAGCTACTAAGCAAATATAAGTCACTCTTCTACATCCCATATGAAAGGGATCGACATATACACTTAGGATTTGGCTTGATACCTTGTTAAGTCAACCTAATCAGCATCATAAATGTCCATGTTGAGTGTTTGCGGGGACATTTAATACTTTGGATAAATGTGCTAAATCTTTCTGAAAATAACTGATTTGTATAGATTTGATTTCCCCCACTTTCACCTTCCTTCACCATGAAGTGGAGGAAACAAACGTAGACTGAGTACTGTTATTGCATTAATGGGAAAGCCCTCCGTCATCTTCCTGGATGAACCATCGACGGGCATGGATCCAGTAGCTCGGCGCCTCCTCTGGGATCTGGTAACGAAGATACGTCAAACTGGCAAAGCCATCATCATAACTTCCCATAGGTGAGAGTCACAGAAGGGTTGGTTGAAGGTTGACAGGAGTGGTAGGACGGTAAGGGGGAATTATGTGGAGTCAGAGAAATTACAAAGATTCTTGTGAGAGTGAGTGAGTTCCTTATTAATCCCAATGAATGAAAGAGTCAATTCCTAACTGCGCTAAATAAGGGTGGAGAAAGGGTATGGCGTTTAGGAAATGATTCTTTAGGGGATTTATTTCTCTAGTACCATTGAAAGACATTTCCTACCCTAGCTATGAGCTTGATGGCTAAAAAATGTAACTGTCTACTTTGAAGAGACTCTGTTTAGACTATAGAATGTTCCCCAGGGAACTTGGAGTCTTACGTTATTCTGTCACTTGTCTTGTTAGTATGGAAGAATGTGAAGCCCTTTGCACGAGGCTGGCCATTATGGTGAAGGGGAAGTTTGCATGCTTGGGCAGCCCTCAATACCTCAAAAGCAAATTTGGCGACTTTTACATCCTGAAGGCCAAAGTCAAGGCTGATTCAGATGAGGATAAATTGGATGATTTTAAAAAGTTCATCTCAACAACCTTCCCAGGTAAGTAAAGTTACACTAGATTTTTAGAATGTGCTAACTCATCTTTATTTTTCTTACCCTTGAGCTGTGGTGCTGGAGAAGAGTATTCAACATATCATGGACTGCCAAGAGAACTAATACGTCTGCTCTGGAGAGAGTGAAACCAGGCTGTTCCTTGGAGGCAAGGATTTTGAATCTCTGTCTCACATACTTTGGGCATGTTGCCAGCAGGGATCAGTCCTTGGAAGAAGGGCATCAATCTTGGAAAGGTGGAGGGAGAGTGCAGGAGAGGAAGACTCTGGATTGAATGATTTGATTCAATGGGTAATGGCTGAGGTGTGTCAGGGACAGTGAGGTTGGCTCAGGACAGAACAGAGTTCAGAGCCGTTGTACATAAGTTGCAAAGGACTCGATGGCACATAACGACGACAACTTGTGTGTGTGTGTGTGTGTGTGTGTGTCCTTAAATAACAGTTTCCTCTAAGTAATGAAGAATCTTCCATACCAAATTGCTTGTTTCCAGTCAGGTTCTTATCCCTGATTATGCTAAGTTTCTTTTTTAAAAAAAAAACAAACCAAAACCCAAATCACAGGTCTGCTGTGAGCTGGTTTCAACTACACTACAATGACATTTTTTAAAGAGGTTAAATACCTAAAGTCATATTTTAAAGCTTAACTTCTCAATTATCTGCAAAAATTATCCATGCAAAGTTTTTCAGTTGCTCTCTCTCTCTCTCTCTCTCACACACACACACACACACACACACACACACACGCAACTCTTGCCTTTTGGTGCCTGAACCAGAATATAATTATTAAATTCAAACAAAAAATGGTGTCTCTCCTTTCTAGAATCGTTCTGCTTCTGTGCACTAAATTCAATAAGTATGTCCCTGTGTACCTGGTCAAGTTTCACAGACAGCACCTATTTCTGTCCCCTATCTCTCTTTCTTGAACTCTGGTGGCCACGTGGATGAGGAGCTGAGCTGCCAGCTCAAAAGACAGGCAGATTGAATACACCAGCTGCTCTGTAGGAGAAAGATGGACAATCTCCTCTCATTTCATTTACAGCCTCTGAAAACCAGTAGAGGGTAGGCTGTGAGTCTGTTCTGATTGAGTGTCATTGCACTGGAATAATGACTTTGACTTCTTTTTTTTTTTTAACTTCTCTTTCCTAAACACAAAGCAGAGGCAAAGTAACACTTATTGTAGTTTTATCATCTTAATTTCTACTTTGCAACATATCAGAAATTTCCTCTTGTCTGTCAGGCTGAGTAGCTGAGACTTTATCTTCTAAGAGATAGAAAATAGCAAGATCAATTTCACAGTAGGAGCAAACAGCAGAAAATTTTTTGAAAAATGAATGGGAATGCAGATGGTGGTGACAAGATAAAAGGAAAGATTATTATAATGTGTCTGTTTGCAATCCTTGGAGGCAAGGATTCTGGGGCTTCGTCTGACATACTTTGGACATGTTGTAAGGAGAGACAGGTCTTTAGAGAGGGACATCATGCTGGGTAGAGTAGAGGGACAGCGCAGGAGGGGAAGGCCCTCTATGAGGTGGATTGATTCAGTGACTGGGGTAATCAGGATGGGTGTGTCAGAGGCAATGAGATTGGCACAGGATAGAGCAGGGTTTAGGGCTGTTGTACATAGGGTCGCTATGAGTCGCAAACTACTCGATGGCACATAACAACAACATCATTTGCAATATGGATTGAAGCTCAATATCAAGAAAATGAAGATTCTCACCACTAGACAAATTAGTAGCAGCTTTATAGAAGAAGAAGAGCTTGAGATTATTAACAATTACAGCTTGCTTGGTCCCACAATCAATAGATTTGGCCCCAGAAGTCAGGAAATAAAAAGACAAATTGCATTAGGAAGATCTACTGTCACGGACCTCTCTAAGTGCTAAAGAGCAAGGATGTCAGTCTAGAGACTAAGGTGCACCCAATTCAGGCCATGATCTTCATAATTACTTACTATGCCTCAGAGAACTGGACACTGACTAAGAATGACAGAAAAAGAATTGATACCTTTATTGAACATACCACAAACTGCCAAGAGAAGAAACAGGTCTGTCCTGAAGAGAGGGAGACCAAGCTGCTCCTTGGAGGCAAGGATTTTGAGATTTCATCTCACATACTTTGGACATGTAGCCAGGAGAGACAAGTCTTTGGAGAAGGATATCATGCTTAGAAAGGTAGACGGATAGCACAGGAGATGAATTGACATAATAACTAGAGTAACCAGAGTAGGTGTGTCAGAGACAGTGAGACTGGCTCAAAATAGAGCAAGATTGAGAGCCATACTGCATAGGGTTGCTATGAGTCGTAGTCAGCTCGAGGGCACACAACAATGTTCATTAAGAAGTTGAATTTTTGCTTAGCCAGTAATTTAGCAAATATTTTTTGAATGACTATTGTACCTGAGCTCTGTTTAATGTAGTTCTTAAGTTGCCATAATGGGAAGCTATGAACAAACAAAATCTCCTTTACTTTGAACTGTAGAAACTTGCTCTACTTCAGGGATGGGTTTCAAACACTAACCAGACACTTATCCTTGGCATTGTGCATGTAATTACTTTCATAGGAATGTGACTTTGAGATAACAACCCCACATATAAATATGGGGTTATACAGTCCTTCCTCACACCGTTCTTGATCAAACACCCATCCAGATAGGACAGAACTGGGGTGAAACTGATGTGAAGCCGATGTATGAATGTTGGGGGGGGGTTAATAATAAGAAATACATGGAGTTGCACAATGCAGTGGTGGAGGTGTTGATGGTGATGGAAATGGGAAAGATCCAGCAGGGACCTGAAAAGACAGGGTAATGATGGGCATGGTCCAATGGTGATTAATTTTAGAAAACAGTGCATGGGAAAGATTGTATGAAACACAATGTGAATGGAGAATAGTGTGAAACACAGTGTATATGAACTTTGTAAGTAAACCAATATAAAAGAAATTTTTAAAAATAAACAAAAAAAAAGAATAAAGGTTTTACCTTAAAAAAAGAAAGGAATACTAAATATAGAAGCAACCGACATATACACTCAAAAGAGGACTTTTTAAGTATCTGAGACTATTTTAGGTAAATAATCCTACACTGACCTCAGATAAATTTAAATGATCATGCATTTTTTTTCAAAAGTTTCCCAAATAGGATGATCCCATCTTGGCAGCATTGTTGTTGTTGTTATGTGCCATCGAGTCATCTGTGACTCATAGTGACCCTTTGTACAACAGCTCTGAACCCTGCTCCATCCTGAGCCAACCTCATTGTCTCTGACACACCTTCTTCCAATACTCTAGTCGCTGACTCAATCCATCTCATGCAGGGTCTTCCTCTCTTAATACTGCCCCTCTACCCACCTAAGCATAATATCCATCTCCAAGGACTGGTCCCTCCTTGTTATATGTCCAAAGTATATCAAATAGAGATTGAGAATTTTCACCCTCTCCAGGACGAACCTATTTGTTCTCCTAGCAGTCCATGGTATATCCAGTACTCTTCTCCAGCATCACAGCTCAAGGGCATCAATTCTACTTCTATCGTCCCTAGCCATTGTCCAGTTTTCTGGTGCATAGCATGTAATTATGAAGACTGTGGCCTGAATCAGGCGTACCTTAGTCTCCAGAGTGACACTGTTGCTCTTCAGTTCTCTGGAGATGTCCCTGACAGCAGACTTTTCTGGTGTAATTCGTCTTTTGATTCCCTGGCTGCTAGTACCAAGAGTGTAGAGTTTATATTCTGAAATGTGCTCTCATCTCTGGCATGGGCTCCCCTGCCCCTCCACATTCATCTTCTCTGTTGCACCATCTTACAGAACTCATGAACTGTACCTAAAGTTAAGTGGCTTCTTAAGGGACACGATGCAACTTGAGATCAGGATCAATAGGCTACAAAGCAAGATCTAGATCGGAAAGATTGTAGACCGTCTCTCTGCTTCAGTGCAGAACAGCACTCAGTGCCTCTAGGCTGTGCAGGCCTCATCTTAGATCTGTGAGAACAGATTCTTCCCAGCCAACTTGGGTCAGGTTGCTTTTAGCTCTGCCTTCTGTCACCACTGGCTCTGCCCTTATCGATCTTTTCTGGGCCTTTCACTGCCTTCACAGTGACTGCCCTTAACTGCCTCTTTTAGGAGGTTCCTTGCTACCTTTATTTCCCTCTGCTTCTCTCTTCTTCCTTTTTTCTGTCTCAAAAGCCTCATAAGGGGCTGACTATAGAGATACAGATATATTTAAGTATGTCGTTTTTGTTATGTGCCATGGAGTGAACTGTAATTCATAGCAACCTTATACGCAATAGCTCCGAACTCTGCCATATCCTGAGCCAATATAGATAGATAGGTAGATAGATAGATAGATAGATAGTTACGTAGATATATAGATTTAGAAATAGATATATATCTATACACACACAAACAGAGAGATACTCACTTTCTTGTCAATTTCAAGATATGTCTAAGATATTATGACTAGGGATGATGGAAGGAGAATTGATGCCTTTGAGCTGTGGTGCTGAAGAAGAGTTTTGAATATACCAGGGACTGCTAGGAGAACAAGCAAGTTTCTTCCTAAAGAGGGTGAAGCCGGGGTGTTCCTTGGAGGCAAGGATTCTGAAGTTGCGTCTGGCATACTTTGGACATGTTGCAAGGAGGGACCAGTCCTTGGAGAGGGACATCATGCTTGGGAGGGTGGAGGGAGAGCACAGGAGAGGAAGACCCTCAATGAGACGGATTGATTCAATGACTGGGGTAATGGGGGTAGGTGTGTCAGAGACAATTCAGTTGGTACAGAATAGAGCAGGGTTTTAGACTATGGTACATAGGGTTGCTGAGTCACAGGCAACTTGATGGCACATAACAACATTATTACTTGACCTTGATGGAGTGATTTATTAAAATTTACTTTTAAGAATTCATTACGCGAGTGAAGTATCTTAGTCACAAAAGGTCCAATACTGCATGGTGCCACTGTTGTAAAACCAGACTGACCTCGGGGTGGGGGGGAGACTGAGAAATATGGGTTCAATAATGTATACTGCATTGAAACAGATGAGGGAGAGAACTGTTTTAAAGGGATATGTGATTAGGTATTTTTGTCATGACAGGAGTCCAGAACGAAGGCTGCATGGTAGAATGGACCTGTGGAGAGGGATTGTAAAACAATGAAAGAGTTTTTCTTTTACTTTTCCAAGAGGGTAGTGTACTGCGGGGAGGTAGTGTAGTTGGGAGGGGAGAAAAGTGCAACAATGAATGAATGGAAATCCAAAGTCTCTGTAAACTTTCATTGAAATTAATAATAATTTTTTTAAAAAAAGAATTCATTAAGCTTTGTATTTGAGTTCTTTCACAATAGAAAACTTTTTATGTAATTGTGGAGACAAACATGCGTTAAGACTAATATGAAAAAGACCACACATTATGACAAAGATTTTTTTTTATTTTAAGCATTTTTCATCTCAGTTCATTCAATTTTCAGTAAGCCTGGACAAATATGTATTCATTTGTTTATTCTAAACTCTCTCCTCATTTCATCAATAGTTTCATGCTCACCTATGAAACACACAGAATGTGTGTCCTGACTTCTGATTGGGTGACTTAGATGTCTGACTTTTGTCTTTCCCATGACATGGACATGGCATAATCATGCGAATAGGGAGAAAATTGCATCCAGTTCTCCTCCCTACCAAACACACTATCTAGGAAAGCATATCAACACAACTGGAAGGGAGATCCTTCCAGTTCCTGTTCTCAGCATTATGTTGAGGACTAACATCATATAGCAACATCAGATTTTTTAGAAGGCTCAGCTGTTTTACATGAAGCATGTAAAGTGCCAGCCTTCTTGGGTCTAAAAATGAGTAGCCTTGGTAGTTGCTGTGAGCTTTAGACTGTAACTAGAATCATTATCTTTCTGGTGAAAGGATAAACTATGACACGTCTACTAAAAAGTATAGAGTTTCAGATTTTGTGTCCTTTTTTATCACTTCACTCCTTTATTCTATAAAGTTAAAATACCAGATTGTTATATAAGATATTCACCTGTACTGACTGTCCTTTCTTAGGCAGCATCATTAAACAGGAGAGTCAAAGGATTGTTAATTACTACATTCCCAGCAAGGACCACAGCTGGGCAAAGGTGACTCTGAAAGCACGCCCTTCTAACACATAGTGCATGTTAAGAGAACACTAATATTGGGGAGAATTTGGGATTCAAGCTTGTGGGATGTGAGTACCTGGCATTGTGGGAGCAGAAGACTCTAGGGTATTTATTAAACAACCTGAATAAGTTTAATTACTTGAGCTCTGACTGTAAATGTCATTATTATTGTTATTTTTATTCCCATCAAGACAATGGGTACAGAGAAATGCCATTTCTGTATTTCTCCACTATCTATTTCTTCTACTTTCTCACCTTCCTAACCTGTTGTGCCTTTTGTCCTCAAAAAGAAATCTGGCAGAAGTTGGGGCCTTTGATGGAAGGAAGGTCACCTGGGCTGGAAATTGGGAGGAATGGCAATGATAACTGCTTTTGCCATCATTACTGTTGTTGTTCTTACAGGTGTTTGGCATTTTGGAGGAAGCAAAAGGACAATTCAATTTAGAAGATTATTCCATCAGTCAGATTACACTGGAACACGTCTTCCTGAACTTTTCTCAAGCAGATAAAACAGAAGACGAGTATAGAAAATAGATGCTATGAGAGTCAGTGACAATCAGACTTAGGCCTCTCCCGGCTGCATCTGGACACTCAGAGGGGTATTTGTGTCTGTCTGTATGTGTGTGTGAAATGCTGGTGTAAATATATTTATATAATAAAGAGTTCCCTGATAAAGAATGTTTGTCCCTTTTTTCCTAGATTTAAGTGATAAGGTGTACATCCAGCAAATGTAAATAAGAGAACATATGGTGATATAGCTGTTTTCTCTGCTAGAAATAAGGAACGACAGTATTTATTAGGGAAGGGTGAGCACCTGTCTTGAATATTCTCAACGTTCAAGCAGAAGCATTCATAGATGGTGTTGCCATCAAATGAAACAATCCAAAGAGGAAGGACTTTCTGTAATAGCAGCCAAGTTGTGGATAAAAAGAGCGTAAGGCCTGAAGAAAAGAATCTTTCCCATCAATACACACACACACACACACACACACACACACACACACACAAATCTAATTAAAATTATTATCAATGTTTGGTGAGTTGGGTTACTATTTCCAAAATGTTGTGTTGTTGTTATGTGCCGTCGAGTCGCTTGCGACTCATTGCGACCCTATGTACAACAGCCCTAAACTCCGCTCTGTCCTGTGCCAATCGCACTGTCTCTGACACTCCCATCCCAATTATCCCAGTCACTGAATCCACCTCATAGATGGCCTTCCTCTCCTGCGCTGTCCCTCCACCCTCCCAAGCATGATGTCCCTCTCCAAGGACCAGTCTCTCCTTACAACATGTCCAAAGTATGTTAGACGGAGCCTCAGAATCCTTGCCTCCAAGGAGCCACCCGGTTTAACCCTTTTCAAGACAAACCTGTTTGTTTTCCTAGCAGTCCACGGTATTCTCAATACTCTTCTCCAGCACCACAGCTCAAAGGCATCAATTCTCCTTCTATCCTCCTTGGTCATTGTCCAACTCTCTGATGCATAACAAAAAATTTCCAAAATACAGACTAAAATTCTTACTCTTCATTTGTAAGACCTTGATATGAAGAACTTTTAGGATTCTAAGAACAGAGAGAGAAAAAAAATAATCCTTCATAATTAGCTATTTTCTTTTCTACCTCCCTAATTAAGAAATGAAGAAGAAAAATATTTTTAAAAAATACTACATGACTTGGGAGAGACTGGAGAGCCTTATGCTGAGTGAACTAACTCAGTCTCATAAGGACAAATACCGCATAAGACCATTGTAAAAACAGAAGGAGAACCAGTAAAACATGTGTGGGAACCTAACAGAGGAAGGAGAGGGAGCAGAGGAGTGAGGATGGGTAAGGAAGAAACCAGAGGGTTGCACAGTTTGGTGGACGGAAGGATGGGGGAAGGAAATGGAAATGATCCGAGGAAGATTAATTTGTTGGTCACCGGATTGGGATTGCTTGATTTTTGTTGTTCCCATGTCAAATCTCTCTATGCCTTTTAAATATTAGTCCCTTGTCCAAGATGTCATTGTCAGAAAGTTTTCCTAATCTGTAAATTTTTCTTTTCACTCTTTTCTAGCAGTTTCTGCATGCATGTATTTCCTCTGTCGATAGTCCCAGGTGTCTGCTTCACCCACTGCTGTTTGTAACTTTTTAGTTATTCCATAGTAGTGATTTGTGCCATAAATTTACCCCTATTTAATTCTTTGATGACCTTTATGGTTTTAGGATATACATGTAGCTCTTTGATCCATCTTGAGGTAATTTTTTTAAATGTAGTGAGAGATGTGTATCTGGTTTTCTTTTTTCTGTAAATAGAAAGGCAGTTTTACCATCATTATTTGTTAAAAGACTAGCTCTGTCTCATTTGTCCCAGATCTGCCGTTCATAGGTGGATGAGTTCCCCTCTGAGTTCTCAGTAGATAAACTGGTCGGTGTGTCTGTCATTGTACCAATATCAGGTTATTTCATATACTTTGGACATATTTTCAGAAGGGACCAGTCCCTGGAGGAGGACATCATACTTAGTAAATAGTGAATGAGTTTAAAATCAGAGGCACTTGGTGTGTGTAACTAGAACAGAATAAAAGTTAATTCTTAACTTCATTTCAATGACTTTACTTGATTCTGGAACTTGTCTTGGATTTTCAAAGTTGCCTTTTCTAACAGTAGCCCCCCTAACTTTCACGCTGACCTGCTCATGTACCTCAAGATGGCATTCCTTTTGTCTGGTGGCAAGTGTAGGATATCACAATCTGGTCCCAGTTTATTTTGTTTTCCATTATAGCCAAACGGTTACAAGATGCCGTAGTTTATTCCTTGTTAACCCTCAACAGTCTCTGGAGAGGGTCTTAAGACTTCCTGCATCAGCAGCTGAACCCTCTCAGAGTGAACATGAGACTTGAGGAGCCCCTGACAAGAGTGGCACTATGTGGTAGTGCAGAATGGACTGGAAAAAAAGAAAAAAACCCAAACAAAAAAACCTGGGGAAAAAGAGAAAGGCTGCAAAACACTGTACTTTCAAGCAACTCTAGGCCCCTGACCTTGTTTTTAAGATGAGGTGGCTGCGAAGGCGGGAAGAGTCCCACAGTCTGGATGGAATGGAAGGGCTTATGGGATTCCTTGAATTGATCTGGTAGGCCCTTCTCTCGCACCCCTACCTGTAGGGAATGAGTGAACCCAAGAGGCCTAGAGCACAATCAGATTTAGATTGTAGGAGCTCTTGAGCCAGTGAAGGATGGAAGCTGAGAGCAGAGAAAAGGTGCGGACTTTCAGTGCTCGGAGTGGTGGGTGTGGAGGGGGCGTAAGCAGTGCACCGGGAGCAGAAGCAGTAGAGGGGGGCGCGGTGGGCGGGGCGCGGGCGCGGTGGGCGGGGCGCGGGCGCGGTGGGCGGGACACAACCTGGTCCAGGCTGGCCGGTTGAAGAAGACTGTGGACGCTGTGGACACGCGCCGCTTGGCGCTGGTGGCGGTTGTGTGGCCTGAGTGGTGAGCATTCCTGGGCCTTATTCTTTCCCCTACTTTCTTGGTTCCTGCTTTTTAACTCTGAACTAGACTGAGAGTTAGAAACTACCTGTAAGTCTTTTCATTGTACCCCCTGAAAAGTATGTATTTAATATTTTTATAATAGCATGTATAAATGAACCTTCTACTCAACACCTCAAGTACTAGAGACTTAGTGATTTTAATTTTGACTACAATTTTGGTTGTTTCATAGTGATTAAAAGCAAAAGTTTTGGAGGTGCAGGTGAAGCTTGGTTGTAGTCCTCATGCCATCTACCGGCTGTGTGAGTTAAGCTTATCAGTGGAAATAATATCTGTCTCTAAAGCTTCGTCTAACACACTTTGGGCATGTTTCCAGGAAGGACCAGTCCTTGGAGAGGGACGTCATGCTTGGGAGGGTGGAGGACAGTGCGAGAGGAAGACCCTCGATGAGATGGATTGACTCAGTGACTGGGGTAATGGGAGTAGATGTGTCAGAGACAGTAAGATTGGCTCAAGGTAGAGTAGGATTCAGGGATGTTGTACATAGGGTCGCTATGAGTCGCAAGCGACTTGACAGCACATAACAACAATCTTTAAAAGGTTTCATGTTAAACAGAATTAAGCTTACTAGTGTAAAATGGTTCCCTGCCTGAAGACTTTCCTTTAATAGTTCTTGTAAAGTTGTTCTAGTTTTCACAAATTGGCGTCATCTCTGTCTACCAGGCAATATCCTAATTTCAGCATCATATTTAAAGGAAAGTTTCACTGGGTGTGTACTTTTTGTTGTTGTTATGTGTTCATTCATGCATACTTTACTCCCTCCTCTTCTCCCTCTCCCACAATTCCCATTGTAAAGCTATTAATTGTTGAACGCATGGTTTCTAATTGTTCATTCCTTACATAATATCCTTCCTTTCACCCATTCCAGCACAGTATTCATTATTTATCCATTCTTTTCCTGCTCTTCCCCCACTTTCCATCTTGATCCTATTATTACAGTAATGGGCTCATGCAATATTTGTTCCTTTGTCACTGAGATATCTCAGTATAATGTGTTCCAGACTCCTCATTGTGTAGCGTTTTACGAGTTCATTATTTTTCAAAGCTGTGTAGTATTCCAGTGTGTGAATGTTCCACAGTTTCTCTATCCATTCAATTGTTGATGGGCACCTGGGCTATTTCTGTCATTTTTCTATTGTGAACAATGTTGCTATAAACATGAGTGTCCATATATCTAATTGTGTTGCAGCTCTGATATCTTTTGGGTACCTGGGCCAAATGGGGAAGCACCAGATTGTGCTCTGTAGTGGCTATACCATTTTGTATTCCCACCAGCAGCAAATATAAGAGTTCTGATGTCTCTGAGTAATTACCAGCATTTGTTGTTTGTTGCTTTGTTGAACTTTGCTATTGTTGCTAGAATGAGTTGATAGCTCATGGGTGTTCTGATTTGGATCTATCAAAGTTATTGAGGAGCAGTGATGTAAGTTTGAGGACTGAGGTTTGTCTGATTCAGGCCATGCTCTTTCCAATCACTTGTAATGTATCTGAGAGCTGGACAATGAGTAAGGACAACAAGAACAACAAGAATTGATGCCTTTGAGCTGTGGTGTTGGAGAAGAGTACTGAACATATCAAGGACTGTCAAAAAGATAAATATGTCTTGGAGAAAGTGCAGCCAAAGTGCTCCTTGGAGGTAAAGATGATAAAGCTATGTCTCATATTCTTTGGGCATGTTGCTAGGAGAAGGCTATTCCTTGGAGAGCAACATCATATTTGGAAAGACATACGGTTGGTGAAGAAGAGGAAGACTCTCAACCAGGTGGATCGACACAGTGACTGCTGCAATGCGTCTAGTGTGTCAGGAAGTGTTAGGATGGCGCAGGATAGCACAGCATTCAGATCTGTTGTTCATAGGTTCCCCTTGGATCATACTCGACTCAATGGCACCTAACAAAAACAATAGCTAGTGATATTGAGCATTTTTTCATGTGTTTGCTAGCCATCTGATGTTCTTCTTTAGTGAAGTTCTGTTCATTCCTTCTGCCTATTTTGAGATTGAGTTGTCTTTTCCTTGTTAATTGAACTCTAGTGGCCTAATGGCGAAAGGCTGCACTGCAATGCTGAAGCACACAGTTCGAGTCCACCAGCTGCTTTGCAGGATGGGCAATCTCCTTCTGTGGGATTAACTGCCTCTGTAAACCTGCCCTAGGTTCAGCTATGGGTCAGTTCTGTACGAATGGTTCACAGCATTATTATTCTGTAAATTTTAGAATATAAATCTGAGTCCCTTACCAGATAAATCATTGGCTGGCAATTATTTTTACTCAGTGTGTGGCCTTCCTTTCTACCCTGTTGGAGAAGTTTTTGATGCACACAAGGATTTGATTTTTAAAAGGTCCCACTCATGTATCTCATCCTTTCCTGACTGTAGGGTTTTAGTTCTACTTCAGAGTCTACTCATGCCATTTCTAAGGGTTTCTAAGTTTGCTCCATTTTTTTTCCCCTCTGATGAACTTTATAGTATTTGGTTTTACTCCTGGGTCCCTGATGCATCTTGGTTTTTGCATTTGATGTGAGGTATGGATCTTGCTTCAGTTTTCAGCAGATGGCTATCCAATTTTACTGGCACCATTTGTTAAAGAGGCTGTCATCTCCCCACTTAATTGGTTCTGTCTCCATGTCAATGATCAGATGGCCATAGGTAGATGGATTGATTTCTGGGTTTTATTTGCCCTTAAGTATATTTTTAAACATTTGAGTCTTAATAGACAAAGACTCGAAACAGAATAAGCAAAGCAGGCATTCAAATTTAAAGTGGTTTTATAATTCTTTTTTAAAAATTTGACTTGTAGCAAAAATTACTATCAAACTCCGTTCACGGGGCCAAAGACCCCTGTGGTGTTAGCAAAAAACGTGCCCATCATGTTGTTATGCTTAGGTGCTTTTGAGTTGAATGTGACTCATAGCCACCCTATAAACAACAGTTTTGAACCCTGTTTTATCCTATGCCATTCTCATCATCTTTGACACACTTGAGATCATAGCTGTTGTCACTGTATCAAGGTCTTCAATATGGATTGAAGCTCAACATCAAGAAGACAAAGATTCTCACCACCTGGCCAGTTGGCAGCACCATGATAGATGGAGAAAAGATTGAGCCAGCTTGCTTGGTTCTACAATTAACACTCTTGGCACCAGCAGTCAAGAAATCAAAAGATAAATTGCACTGGGAAAATCTTCTGTCAGGGACCTCTCCAGCAAACTGAGGAACAGTAGTGTCAGTCTAGAGACTAAGGTGCACCTGATCTAGGCTATGGTCTTCACAATTGCTTGCTATGCAGGGTAACAGAAGAAGAATCAATGGCCTTTGAAATGTGGTGGTGGAAGAGAGTGTTGAACATACCATGAACCACCAAGAGAACAAATAGGTCTGTCTGGGAGAGGGTGAAACCAAGTTTCTTCTTGGAAGCAAAAATATTGAGACTCCATCTCATATACTTTGGTCACCTGGTCAGAAGGGACCAGTTTTTGGAGAAGGACATCATGCTTGGAAAGGTGGAGGGCAGAGAAGGAGAGGAAGATCTTGGATGAGATAGACTGACACATTAATAATAACATTAATTAATAATGGGAATAGGTGTGTTAGAGTCAGACTGACTCAGGATAGGGCAAGATTCAGAGCTATTGTACGTAAGGTCCCTTCCTTCCTTCCTTCGCCTCCTCCTCCTTCTCCTCCCCCCCCCCTTCTTCCTCCTCCTCCTCCTTTTCATGAGCACTATCATGCATATCTGTTATCTTTATTTTCTGGTGACTTAGTTGAAAAAGCCTGTGGGTAAGGAGTTGCACAGCCAACCCAAAGACACACAATTCAAGTCCATCATCTCTGAAAACCTGCTGGAGGGTCAGCCATGACTTGGTTTCAACTTGACAGCAGCGATACGGTTTTTTGAAATTTGAAAAGAATCTGCACTGCCATCTGTCTAGTCCTCTGTCTTACGCAGATGTCTTATGTTGGGGTTTGGGGTTTTTTTGTTGTTGTTGGTTGATTGTTTTTTGTTTAATGTTTTGGCTAAAGTAATTCTGTTAATTTTATTACCTTGCTGTATGCAACCTATGATGTCTCTGCCCAAATATTTATCCTTATATATTATATTTATAATAAATATTATTGTAATAATTGACAATTAAGTATGTTACCATCAGCCCTATGAATGGAGTGTGAGATAATACATACTAAGCTTGTAAGAAAAAATATTTTATTACAGGTTTATGAATCAATTATTCATAATCCTAGTTTATAGTGTTTTAAAATTTTTGCTTATTAATCTTAGTGGCTTACTTATTATTACTTATTAATAAATATTAATGGACACTGTGATTGCAAATATCACTTTATAGTACTTTCTCTCAAAAATGGAAACAAATCTTACTCAGATTAGTTTCTCTGTCTTCTGATACTATATACAAACTGGAAATTTATCAGCTAGTAAGTCAATGAATAGAAAAAATAGGAGTGAGTAATTTATTTAGAATTCCCTTTATTTCAAGCATACAGTCTTTCTTGCTATCAATTTCTAAGAGTAACTAAGAAGCAGCATAGGAGAAAGTGGTTTTATTCAAGTTCACATTTTGTTAACCAATTTAACCTTTTAAAAGGTTTGCTCTCTCCTAGAGTGGACCCTGTTGAAGAATGATTTTGACACTAAATCAATTTGCTGTACTCCTTTGGAAAAATTTTACCGTAAAGGTAGGTGAAGGCATTTATGGAAAATGCACATGCTTTGCATTTCCCTTTATCTTATTTTTGTTTACTTATTGTTTCGTGATTTTTAAATTGTTTTGTGATTTTACCAGAGCTATAGGTAGGTCTTCCAGATATATAAAGTTGAATGAGTAGTATAGTCTCAACTGTAAGAAAAGAGGCTTTGGTGGCAGTCATAGCATGTTATGTTGTTATGATGCGACGTGACGTGATGACCATAAGTCTCTTTTGGCCCACAAGAGAAAGATGACAGCCTCAAAAACCCCACAAAGTGTCACTATGAGTTGAAATTGACTCAGTGAGTGAATTTTTTTTTACCTGTAACAAAGTGGGGCATTGAATAGGTAGGTGTGGGATTGAAACAGTACAGAAATCTCTTGCCTGAGCCGTGGAGAAAGTCGTAGAAGCCCAATATAATAGAATTTTCCAGATGCATTTAATATACGTTCTCAACGCACTATCCTTTTGTTTTTGTCTTTTAGAAGAGGCATTATATTCATTTACTATTGGAAGTTTTCATAGTGTTGGTGTTTGGAATGATGATTTTGATATTCCGCGCCGTTTTTAAAATAGAGGTTGCTCGATCTCAGAATTACACTTCTCAACCCGTCAGCACTCTACCTTCTTTTGTCAAAAATCCAAATGAGTGGGAACTGATTTATGTGCCTTCTAATGTTGATGTGGCAAAAGAGATAACAGAGAATGTGAAGAGGAATCTAAACATCAGTATAAAAGGTGAGAAAATAAAGTTTTCTGTAAAAAAATTTTTAGAGAAGTTGAATATTGAAAAAGAACATACTTTTTGATACTAAGATAGCAGTAATTTTAATAATTAAGATGTGGTATTGACAGAAGCAGAAACACAGCAGAACATAATAGAGAAGCTGGAGATGCACTTATACAAAAATGCTGAAATGTTTTGTCACAAAGATTTAGAATGAATTCAACAAAGGAAGGATAGTCTTTCCCACAAAGGTCACTGTTATTATTGGACATCAGTCAACACCTTGGAGCAATGAAACTTGACCACAGTTTCCTTAATGCAAAAATCAACTCAAAGAGATGCATAGATTTAAATGTAAAATGATAGAATATTTAGGAGACAAAATAGTGCTTAGAGTTAAACCATGCTTATAAAATGAAAAACTAATAGACTGGAATTCAGTTATGTAATGTTAGTGGGTTTTGGTGGTGGTGGTGTTACTGTGTGCCCTGGAGGAAGAACTGAATCCTGTTTGACCCCTGTAGTGGATTTCAGAGACATTCAATCAAATGAGTGGAGATTGCCTATCCTTCTTCCACAGAGCAGCTGGTGGATTTGAACCACCTGCTTTTGGGATTGCTGCACAGCTTCTTACTACTAGGCCTCCAGAGCTCCCTGGAAGTTGCTTTAGAGAAAAATATGTATACTTAAGTGTTTACAGTCAATTTAGAATTGTCTTACTACTGTACTAGGATGCGTAACCCTTTCTCTAGTTTGAAGCAAAACTCGAAATCATAAAAACGGCAAGTCTTACTAGTATAAGTAATGGTGGAACCCCTGAGACTATGGCTAGTAGATATTCTTCCATTCTGAAACCGAAGTCATCTTCCTGGATCCGTAGACAGTAACACCAGAAATGAAAACACTCTTTAGAGCAATCATCCATATGAGAAAATAAGAACAGAATTTGCTCAGGGACAATGATCAGAGGGCAGAAAAAGACAGGGGGAAAGAACAAGTAGAAATGGAAACCCAGGGAGGGGTTGGAAAGCGATTGAAGATGAGGAATCATTAAGAATATACCAATACATCAATATGGTTTTGAACACTGCCAACTTTTAAAAATAATTATGGACTACACAGCAGAGAGTTTAAAGTTTACCTTTTTTTGGGGGGAGTGGAATTCTGGTATTTTTCTAGGGCTTTATTGATAATGTTTTACCTTTCAAATGTATGTATTTTTCATTCAATAAAAATGTCTTAATATATGAAAAAAAAGAATATACCAATAATGTTTCAGGACCTCTGGTGTCATAGTTTATAGAGTATTGTGCTGCTAAGCAAAAATATAGGTGTTTCTTTTTCAGTATCGTCTTGACTTTTTCTGGAGATGATTATAACTCATTGGGGCTCTGAGTTCTCTTGGATAAAGCTCAGCAATAATATCTAGAAATCTCCATTTTGGCCACCTTAAATTGGACCAAGGACTTAAATACACTTCCAAATTTTAAATTGTTTCTGTCTTTTTATGAATTTTGAAATCTTACATTAACTTTTCAATGACTCACTGTTACAAAATTTTTGTCTAAGTATTTAACTCATTGTTGTTGTTGATTGGAATCTAGCGCGTCTCATAGCGACTCTGAACAAAAGACCTAATACCTTTCCATAACTATAGTCATTTCTCCAAGTTCATAGAGTTTGCAGAGGCATGTGGTTTAGGAAGTGGATTCTACTTGTGCTTCCAAACCTCTTTTACAACTGAGAGCTCCACCAAACACTCCACATTGGGAAACCATTCTGGTATTTGATACCTCAGTGGTACAAGGTTCAGCATGACAGCAAACCCAGGTTACTTCATACGGCACTTTGATAAAGAGTGATGTACAAAGTGGAAGAGTGTTCATCCGATATAAGAGCACTAGTGTCATTTAGCAGTGGTTAAGTGTCATCAAGTTGAATATGACTGAGAGTAAGGTTTGCACAAAAGACGTGAACTCTGTTCTATAATATAGTAACATCATTTCAGTACATTTATAGAGTTTAGAGAGTTTGTAGAATTTGGAGAGCTTGTAGAGTTTCCAGAGGCATCTAGTTTAGGAAGTGGATGCCACTCCTGCTTGCCAGCATAAATCAATCTGGAAGCTCATCTAAACATTGTACATAATGGGTAACCATTATGGCGTTTGACAAGACAGTGGAACAGTGTGCAGCATCACAGTGACACCAAGTTGTTCAATTCAGCAGATAGACAAAAGATTGCTGTGTCTTTGTTGTTGTTGTTTGTTGTTATGTGCCGTCGAGTCACTTGCGACTCATAGCAACCCTATGTACAACAGCCCTAAACCCTGCTCTATCCTGTGCCAATCTCATTGCCTCTGATATACCCATCCCGATTACCCCAGTCACTGAATCAATCCACCTCATAGAGGGTCTTCCCCTCCTGCGCTGTCCCTCTACCCTACCAAGCATGATGTCCTTCTCCAAGGACCTGTCTCTCCTTACAACATGTCCAAAGTAGGTCAGACGGAGCCCCGGAATCCTTGCCTCCAAGGAGTAGCCTGGTTTAAACCTCTGCAGGATGGATCTGTTTGTTTTCTTGGCAGTCCATGGAACATTCAGTACTCTTCTCCAGCACCACAGCTCGAAGGCGTCAATTCTCCTTCTATCCTCCCTAGTCATTGTCCAACTCTCGGATGCATAACGAGTGATTGCAAAGACCATGGCCTGTATCCGGTGCACCTTAGTCTCCAGAGAGACACCGTTGCTCTTGAGTACTTTAGAGAGGTCCCTAACCGCAGACTTTCCCATCGCAATACGTTTTTTGATTTCCTGGCTGCTGGTGCCAAGAGTGTTGACCATGGAGCCGAGCAAACTGAAGCTCTGAACAATCTCAATCTCTTCGCCATCCATCCTGATGCTACTGATTGGTCCAGTGGTGAGAATCTTTGTCTTCTTGACATTGAGCCTCAATCCATACTGAAGGCTGCAGTCCTTGACCCTCTGCAGTAAGTGCATGAGGTCCTCCTCAGTTTCAGCGAGCAGGGTTGTGTCATCTGCATAGTGCAGATTGTTGATAGATCTTCCACCAATCCTAACGCCACGCTTCTCCTCATAGAGCCCAGCCTCTCAGATAATCTGCTCTGCATACAGGTTGAAAAGGTATGGAGATAGGACACATCCCTGGCGTATACCTTTCCCAATTTTGAAACATGCAGTGTTGCCCTGCTCTGTTCTGATGACTGCCTCTTGGTCCAAGTATAGGTTTCACATTAGCACGATTAAATGTTCTGGGATTCCCATTCTTCTCAGAGTCAGCCATAGTTTGTTATGATCCACGCAGTCAAATGCCTTTGCATAATCAATGAAACACAGATAGACATTCTTCTGGTATTCTCTGCTTTCAGCTAAGATCCATCTAACATCAGCTACAATATCCCTAGTACCACGACCCCTTCTAAGCCCATCCTGGACTTCTGGCAGTTCTCTGTTGATGTGCTGTTCCAGTCGTTTTCTATTCATTAGAAAATTAATAACTTTGGCCCCGGCCTGCAGTCCCATTCTCTCACACTGAGGGGATTTTTAAAGCCACACCTTCGAGTAGCCCTCCACCCTTGGCCAAAGGCTCAAGGACACCTGCTCTTGGGGAGGAAAAGAGCAGAAACACACATCAAACATGACCCCAAAAGCTTCCCTTACTTTACTGATGTGACTGTCATCGAGATCAATGAAAAACCTGTATGGTCTTTTGGAACTCATCTTTTTTCAATTTATAGTAAAGAGAAAGTGTTTACAAAAGTAAGTTGTTGTTAGATACCATGGAGTATAATTCAAAGTAACCCTGTGAAAAATATATATTAATTCTGTTCTATGTTGTGCCATCCTCTTCACCTCTGACTCACTTGAATGCATTGCTGCAGTTACTACGTTAATCCATCTCGTTGAGGGTCTTCCTCTCCTTTGCTGACCCTCCACCTTTTCAAGCATGCCCCTCTCCAGGGAGTATCCTTGCCTAGCAACAAGCCCAGCATATGTGGGCTTTGCCATCCTTGCATCCAAGGAGCACTCAGACTGTACTTTTTTCGACAGATAACTGTGTGTTCTATTGACAGTCCATGGGATATTCACTACTCTTCTCACAGCTCAAAGGCATCAATAATTCTTCTTCTTCTCCCCCCGCCCCACGCTTATTCCTTGCCTTGTAAATAGATGCATAGCAAGTGATTGAGAAGACCATGGCCTGAATCAGGTGAACTTGGGTATTCAAACCAACGTCATTGCTCCTCAGTAACTTGGAGAGATTCCTGACTTCAGGATTGTCCAGTGCAATACTAATCCTAATCTCCTCTTTGCTGGTACCAAGGGTGTTGTTTGTGGATCCAAGTAAGATGAAGTAATTGACAGTGTCAATCTTTTCTCCATCCATCGTGATGTTGCTTTTCGGTCCTGTGGTGAGAATATTTTGAGATACAATTCATATTGAAGGCTGTAGT